AAGTTGTGCTGCAATTTTATCCAAGAGAGGCTGCTCACCCTACCCTCCTTTCCCCAGACAGAGGCTCCATGATTACAAGCATGTCTGGTAGCGAGGCAGTTTCGTTTCACTTTACTTCATAGCCTTCATAAGAAGAAACAACTGAAGTAAGATAAGGAAGGGAGAGGTATGAAGATGAGGAGACTCAGAAGTCAAATGCACTCAGTTTGCCACTCAGGTAGCAGTTAGATTTGTCGGTGAGAATACCCAAGGTGGATTAGAAGAAGGAGAGGAACGGAGGTAGTGAAGAAGAGAGGGGGAGGAAAGGACACTTAGATGGAAAGTGGAGAGGACAGGAGGCAGAAGCAAGAATAGAGGTGAATGTGAGACCACGGTTTCCTTTTATGTGTGACCACAATGACCAGAGCTTCAAAAGTTCAGCTGGAGACAGGAAATTCAGAAGATATGTGTACCTAACTGAAGAAAAGCCATCCAGAAAGGAGAACGGTTAATGACTCAAAACCAAATCCATCTACAGCATCTATGTGAGCTAAGCAGGACAGAGTAATTTAGATGTATGCACAGTGAAAGTGCGGACCTTCCTGTGCATTGAGAGAAGGTGGAAAATACTGTACCTGTAATTCACCTTTCCATGAACAACCCAGATTGGATGAGTTAAGGTTGAGATGGAAACAGAGCCACAAGGTGCTGTAATATGTCTTAAGACTACTCCTAGGAACTACTTAGTAAATTCTAACAAGCAGCACCACATGGCCAATTTCAAAGATCCTTAAAGGTCCGTTCTCTTGCTGACATATGCATGATCATTCTCGGACAGCTTTATATCTAAAAAAATGTTTAACAAATGTTCTTCAGGCAAGATGCACTTCCAGCCAGCTTTCTGCAGGAGTGCAGAGAGTTGTTTTTTAAGAAATTGAATGACTGTCTTGTGTGTGAGGGATCGATATGGACATTATTAGTACTCTGAAATGCTCTAGAGAACAGTATCAAGAAAAATTTCATCCACCCATGAAAAAACAGAAATTTCTGTGCCAAACCAACCAGTGGGTACTCCTGTTTCTCAAAGGCAAATGCAATTAGCATTCTGGATCTGAAAGAGCAAGCCTAAATCCACTAGGAATGTCAATGCTAAGTTAGGAGAGGAAGATGTAAGGAACACACGGGTTATTATAATGGCGAACAAACATGTTGACTTAACTTCTCTTTAAATTATGCCAATTTATTACAAAATAGTAGGAAAAATCTAATCCCCCATTAACGAGGCCATATGGGAGAATTATTTGAGGATGTGTAACTGCAGAGTACACTTGCCGCGTAAGAGTGCAAGGTCTTTACCGTGTACACTTTGTGCTAAGTAACAGCAATGAAGTAGCAGATCTGAGCCTGAAAATGTGACAGTACTGCCCAAGCCCTCCCTGTTGGACTTAGGCAAGCCTGAAACTGCAGCTTCAGCTGAGGCTTGCAGAATGTCACTGTGAAGAGTGGCTCCCATGATCAACTGTTATGTCATGCTGTGCAGATTTTTTTGTTTGAATTCTTGCAACTTCATGTGAGCCATGCGAACGAAACCCAGTGCTGTCTCTGAAAATAACAATGCATAGCAATTAAGTGTAAGAGTCATGGTACATTCATGCTGCATCATAAAGTTAAGCCTTCAATAAGTTTCAGAGCCTAAAACCACAGAAACAAAAAATAAACGACAGTGACTCATGAGGGCTATAGAGGAATACTTCTGAATTAATACCAATATTCATGTGCTGCTTTCCCATCAGCGTATCAGCCACAAGTATCCAGAGGCAGTTGGTAGAGGGTATGACACAAGACCTTCATTGTGGGGGATGACTGGTGATGGTCCCATTCTGCTGATGGGTCCTTCTGCTGCCACTTTGCTACAGGGTGTAGCAGAACCTGTCATTTATTTAGTGCATTGATCAGCCTGACAGCTCTGCTCTAGTGGCTCAGAATAAAGCTGCTGGGACAATTTCAATTAAGGGTTCAGCAGTTCAGAACATAA